ATGTAAGTTATCTTAGAACTTTCTTGTTTTATTTCTTAAACTTATGTGTTGCTTCTTCATTTGCATTCATGAGTGGAAAATGTACTGCAGCTCTTAGGGTCTAAAAGAACATGTCCAGGCATAACACTTTTTCAGTAGCATGGATGGATAGATAGTTGCTGACTTGGATAATTGTTTGCCATTTTGATCTGTTGAGCCACCTGAGCAACCATTGATGACAATAACGACAAATGTTTGGAAGAGTCTTTCACCCCAAAACATAAGAGTGTGATTACTCTCATCTCATTCATTCTTGTTCTTATTCAAAGGTGTGGAACAACTAGACCGCTTGAAGGACCAACCCAAATCTGAGATCGCTGTAACACTTCATAACACATGGTAAAACAAAATGCTTGAATCACATCAAGAAACAGGAACGGGAGGTCAGAGGTGTCAGATCGACACAGGTGGTCAGAGGTTTCAATTCTGTGGGTCATAAACATCAGGAAACAGGAACAGAAACTGGACATCAAAGGATAAATTTGACACCTGGGGTCATAAATTAATCACTTTTGACAGGTAGTCCCCCATATTTTCTTCTCGTATGATTTCCGTGAAGCAGAGGGAATCCCGGTGCAGTCATGAACATGGAATTTACAGTATAATGAGGGTGTCACGTAAAACACGCAATCGGATGGATGGATAAATCAAAAGTAGTTATGATATGTTTCTGTGAATATTAAAGCGCAAAGAGACTGCTATATAAATAATCGGCTTGTTTCTGCATGTCTCTGAGTGGCGCCGTTTTATCTAAAGTACTGCATACTGAAATACGCATACAAATGGTGTTTTCAGCGTCTAAGATACATAAACATGAACATCAGCAGAGCTGCTCTGAGAGAAAATGTAAATACACATTTCCTAGTTTTATTTGAGAAAAAACATTGTCAAATACACTCTGAAACTCAAAGATCCGCTACAACCAGTCAAAATAAAAGTTCAATTTAATTTGAAATTATGACAGAAATATATTAGCATTGTACAATGTACTTCAAAGTTATAATAACAACAATAATAATATTCTTTATAATAAAATTTATTTATTTAAACATTTTCAAGGAATATCATGTTTGTCCATGTTTTAACTTTGCCAAAAATAAAAGGAGTTGTATATTTTTATTTAATAACATTTTAAAACATTAATTAAAATGTTTAAAAAAAAAAGTTTGTTGTAATAAAGGATTTGTTCACTCAAATAACTTGTTCTTTTAAGAGTCATTGTTACTGATAAGAATTATTGTTTAATACCGTGATGACGTGATATTTTCTGAGACTATTATCATACCGTCAAAATCTCATAGTTGGTGCCTTATGCAAACTGCGTACTCTGCGTATAGGGAGCGCCACTACTGAATATACTTGTGCATCTGTTGTTTTCTTCTTATGTGTGGATTATTTGGTTTTATTTTAAAAACAGAAGCATGCTGAATGCACTCCGATGTGAATCTCTGGTTTCAACATCTCTGATAAATAATAAAGAACATGAAATGGACTTCCGGTTTGTTAAGATGGCGTTGACAAGCGTTGAGTCTCGCTCCCGCAACATTTTATTCTATAGCTTCCTTAAAACCCCACAACTTATTTCTCTTTCACTGCAAATTGGACAACATTTTTGGCGTGCACATATCAGTATCCAATTATGGCAGCTAAATCAGCAAAACAAGGCAAAAAGGAACAGAAAGTTGAAGCGTGCGGAGATGACGGCAAAGATGTTAGCATGGCAGCTATCGCTAACCTTCTGGCTGCTCTCTCTGCAGATTTTAAAGCCACTGTCTCGACACTTGAGGTACAGCTGGATCAAATTCAAGCCACCGTGACAGAACATGGCTCGAAGATTGCTTCGCTCAAGACCCACGCAAATTCGCAGGATGAGCGCACGCACGCCTTAGAAACTACGTGTGCTATGTTAAAAGAGAGCAACTCTAAACTGCTTGCTAAACTCGTGAACCTCGAGTTTCGTAGCCGGCGTAATAATATAAGAATTATTGGGCTACCTGAATCCATAGAAGGACCTCGGCCGTCTGTCTTCTTCTCTGAGCTACTCGCAGATGTGTTTGGGGATGGAGTCCTGGAATCTTCGCCGGAGTGCGTCAGAGCGCACCGGTCACTGGCTGACAAACCGAGGCCGGGGCAAAG